TCCCCCAGGGCAGTGTTCTAGGACCAACTCTCTTCATACTCTACATAAATGACCTCTGCGATCATATTAAGAGCAATTGCGTTCTTTTCGCTGATGATGTAAAGCTGTTCAATACCACAGACAATACTGCTACCCTTCAAAAAGATCTCGACTATGTATCTGAATGGTCAAACAAATGGCAACTTCAAATCTCAACAAATAAATGCTCTGTCTTACATATTGGCAAAAAAAAATCAGAAAATAAAATACAAGCTGAATAGTCAAGAACTTGTTGATGACCCAAGCTCTGTAAAGGACCTTGGAATACTCACCTCTAATGATCTAAGTGCTAGAGCCCACTGCAACTACATAGCCAAAAAGGCATTAAGAGTTGTTAACCTAATCCTACGTAGCTTTTTCTCTGGTAATATCACACTACTAACCAGAGCATACAAAACATTTGCTAGACCAATACTCGAATACAGTTCATCAGTCTGGAACCCTCATTACGTATCTGATATTAGCACAATTGAGAAAGTCCAGAAATATTTCACAAGGAGAGTTCTCCACTCTTCTACTCGCTGTAGAATACCTTATGCCACCAGACTTGAAATTCTAGAACTAGAAAACCTTGAATTACGCCGTCTTCGGTCTGACTTAAGCATGGTATATAAAATCATACATTGCAATGTCCTACCTGTCAATGAATACTTCAGCTTCAACCATAACAACACAAGAGCACACAATAGATACAAACTCAAAGTAAACCGCACCAAACTTGATTGCAGGAAATACGACTTCAGCAATAGAGTGGTCAATGTCTGGAATACTCTACCCGACTCTATAGTCTCTTCCCCAAACCCCAAAAACTTTAACCTTAGACTGTCTACTATTGACCTCACCCCTTTCCTAAGAGGTCTGTAGGGGGCGTGCATAAGCGCACCAACGTGCCTACCGTCCCTGTCCTATTGTTTCTCTTATTCTTTTATTTTTCTTATATGTACCCATTTCATGTATTCACAACTATGTATACGCTTATACTTATTATCTTGTAAACAATTGGCATATCAAATAAATAAATAAATAAATAAAATAAATAGAATTTATTTAATGCCCATTTTAAACATTGCTTCCCTGAAATTAAAGATCATCATCTTTCTCCTACTTTGATCATTTGTATCTAAAAATTGAGAGAATGAACTTTAAGTCAATGTTTTTTCTGATGTTTTTTTAATTGAGCTAACAGTAGGGCTCAGCACATTTGCCCTCTACATTTTGCAGTGCACAAGTTTTTATATGTAATTCCTACAAATAAATGCTAGGTTCCATCTCCAACACTAATTTAAAAGTTCAGGCATTCAGATTAAACCACTACTGATCTAGTACAGCATAGTTTGGCCAAACACATTCTTTCCTATCCTCATCTCAAGCCAGCTCTCTGACATATAATAAAATAGACGTGGTCCCAGACATCAAATCTCTCTCAGCACTGATAATATTACCTAGCTTGGTAATGAAATGTCTACACGAATGTCACCAAGAACCCCACATCAGATGACTTGTGAACACCATTTATATAGCTAAACATTGATCTGCAGTATCTATCTTTCTTCTCCACTCCTTTTCCATTGAGTAGAACAATAGATATTTACTTATTTATTTATTGAATTTATTTATTGAATTATATTGCCGCCTATTTGCCCATGGAGACTTGACGCAGCTTACAGAATGTAAAACCATATTTAAAATAAAAAACAATAAAAACCTAACAAAAAGAATCAAAGTAAGTACAATAGAAAAAAAATCTGGGAAATGAATAAATAAAAAATCACTCCCACTCCCTGCCCCGATGACAAATAAAACACTACCAGCATTAGAAGACATATTGCAAAACAGCCAAATAACGTAACTCTTCTACTCTTACAACTGCTTTACCATAATTATGAAGCAATTCCAAGACAATGAAAGGATATTACACATATTATGTAATTAGATGTCCCAAAGTTGACAGGCTCTTTGATACTGGAGTACAAATTGGAGTGAAGAGATGCTAACTAAAGGGGACAGTGTCTGTCAAGGTTCTCAATCATCCAGCTGCAGTTCATGAATTGAAGAAGCTTCTTGGAACAGAAGCAAAACGTTTTCAGTAAAGGGAAGAGGAAGGTTGAGGAAGAAGAGGATTGTGACTGGATACTTTCCTTCTAAAAGCATTTTGGAAACACTTGCATCTTTCACACCCACCCATTCCACCTGTCTCACTTGGATTAACTCATTTTAGCCCACAGGAATAAATAACCAATCTTTTGAAAATGAAGATAGGCTAATTCACTCCTCTCTTTTCTCCACTTGTATTTTACTCAGAAAGAGGAACTTGCCTGGTTTTAACTGCAGCTCTTTAAATTCCCCCACGACAAAGGAAAACTTGCTTTCTTCCTGCCCGTATTAATGCAGTCTAAGACTCCCCGTTCCCCTTGCACTTAATAAAATCCCATTTGCAAGTCTGTAGCCTACTCACATGTTCAATCTAAATCTGAAACTTTTCACCATTCTGGACCTGAGCTCTTGACATCCTTCATGATCCTTCAGAGTCCAGCTACGGAATTTTGCATAATTTGGAAGGCTACAGGCCCTCCATTGGGTTGTTATATATTTGACTTGGAAACCAGACCCATTTATCCACTATTATAGAGCCTCAGTGGCGCAGTGGTTAGAGTGCAGTACTGCAAGCTACTTCTGCTGCAGCCAACTGCCTGCAATTTGGCAGATCTAATCCCACCAGGCTCAAGGTTGACTCAGCCTTCCATCCTTCCAAGGTGGGTAAAATGAGGACCCAGATTGTTGGGGGCAATATGCAGACTCTAAACTGTTTAGAGAGGGCTGTAAAGCACTATAAAGCGGTATGTAAATCTAAATGCTATTGCTATTGCTATCCCCTTTCCTACCACATTCTACCATTCTTACCTAATTAAGAGTTCTTGGCAACTTAAAGTTTTTGGTAGTGTTCTAGGAGCATTTTATAATTCCAGTATTTGTTCAATAACTTTTTTTCCCATCATGCAAGTTTTGCTTTTGTTGTTGCCATTGTTATTTCCCTTCACTAGCAATAGTTCTAATTGTGCTTTTTATTGCTGTGTTACTGAATTGACAATTTGGTGGATTTGCTTGGCCCACTGGACCATAAACTAACCAATGAAGGATAACATTTGTAACTCAGGGTTGACATGAGGGGTCTAAAGAAGAAAACAACAACTTGTTACCCTTCCTGAACATCCTGATCAGCAGAGACCAAACAAAAAAAACCACCCATACTAACCAGGTGTTCCATTAGCAAAGCAATAATCCAACCCCACAAAAGAAGCTACATGCGTAAGGACTTTATTTGGACAAGCCCAAACACACTGCAGCACCCTGGGAGAGCAGAAAAAGGAAATAGAACATCCACACAATGTATTCCAACAAAAAGAATATCCATACAATTTTATCAAAAAGTCTCTGACCACTCAACTCAATACAGAACAACCAACACAAATTCTAAAAAGAATTACTCTGCCAATACATCAAGAATATCTCAGAAACCACCAACAGACTACTATAACCACATGGTATCAGCATGTCATGTTTATATAGTGTATATTGAAGGTGGTGACTTTTGAGAGCTGTATGCAATGAAATTTTATTTTAATGCATACCGATTAGTGTACATTCAAAGGGACAATAAAGTTTATTCTACTCTACTCTACTCTACTCTACTCTACTCTACTCTACTCTACTCTACTCTAC